CGTATATGCGTTTGTGCACACAATTTGTTCAGTAAATATCCGTCAATTATGCATGAAGCAGTACGAGAGCGTCATTCATTTATTATACCTTTTTCTCTAACTATTTTCCTTCCCCATTTTTTTTCAAAAACATTTTTGGGTTTGTTTATTTGCGGCCGCTGAAGGCGCAACATCCGATCACCGATGACTGTGCGACGAGTGTCAGCATCAACGTCAAAGCCAACAGCGTTGTCAAACTCGCTAAAATAGTTACTGTCGCTGGCATTATTTATGTGTGAACCTCACAAATTGTTTGCTATTTTCGAATGACACGACAAGTCATTTCCCACAGCACTTAGACTGACAAGAAAACAAAACAAATTACCACAAAAAAAAAAGAAAAAAAAAAAAAATCAAAACGAGCAAACAGAATATATACGCGCTAAGGCAAGCATACGCTTGTTAAATACCGAAAATGGATACAATGTGCGAATAGAAGGTTTGACTTCTTAATTTGCGCTAGAAAATTGCTGCAACCAAGGAATGTACAAAAATGCTAAATCCAATTTTCTTCTTTACTCCACTCAAAACAACACGAAAAACGTGGCAAACATTTTATTTGAATTGGTTTCATTTCATTTTCTTACTCTCCTTCATTCTTACATAACACTCACACATAATTGCCATCAAAATTCAACACGTGCTTACTTCCTTCGTCACCTTTCTTTACGTCGTGCCGGTGACAAGCTTGCTTTATTGATCTTATTTCTTGCCAGACTTCACTTTATTTTAAATTCTAATTCGATTTCACTTCACTTCACTTCAATAGACTGTTTCCCCCATTTGCACGTCAACCATTCGCCTTGTCTGGCCATTGCCGTTGACTTTATTTGTCAGCCGAGTTGCCCATAATCAGATGAGCAATAATCAGCGCTCATCAACATAACCTTCCATCATACGGCACCTCACCGCATTCACTCACCCTCTCACCTCCGTTCACACTCGTTACAGGCGTCTTCTTTCTTCACACGTCGTCACTATCGCCTGCACCCAGCCCCCTTACTACAGCCACTCACAGCCGAGCTATAGCTCATTAATTTACTTAAAGCATAATATCATCAGCATGAAACACCAAATTCAAAAAAAAAAAAAAAAAAAAAAAAAAAAAAAAAAAAAAAAAAAAAAAAAAAAAAAAAAAAAAAAAAAAAAAAAAAAAAAAAAAAATCAGTAAAACAGGTACTTGAGCTATTTGAATTTATTGAATTAAGTCACGTCTAAGTGCGGCGACAACCAAACTAGGCAAGCGGGAAATAATTTACATTAAATGCAAATTAATACTCCCATTTTTTTCACTCACTTGTCAAGTAACAAACAAAAAAGCTATAACAACAATAAAATGAAACAGATCAAGAACTTTTTGAAAGAAAGGCCACGATCAAACATTTTCAGAAAAAAAAAAATCAGTTTCAGGTGAAAATGAATGAAAATAAGCCACGTGATGATAACTAATAAATTACTTTTTGTCGTTATTGTAGTGACGAAAAGTATTGCCCCTTGGACGGATAAAAGTCAGTGTCCTTTCCATTTATATAGACACGACTGGTGTGAGAATAGACTACGATATATCTCATACCAGGTGATTCATTTGCGTAAGAGCATGAGGCGACAACTCTTTGTCTTACTTAAGAACCGATTATTTTTCTTAATTGGCATTAGTTAACTACTATATAATACCCATAGTTTTGAGATTAATTTTGTTTTTTTTTTCTAATGGTGAAGTGAATTTATCATGAAGATCATACTACAAATATATCCATCTATTTGGAAGTCTCAGGGGTGACGTATAGATTCTATGAAGAATCTATCTATCAGTAGTAATATATTATGATAATGACATTTTCTGCCAAATCACATTACCCAAAGCTTTATTACTATAGTAAAATGGTGTAAAATACCACTTACGACATACAATTCTTTATATTGGTTAGTCGAAAAAGTCTTTTCGTATTTTGTAAATAGATGTCGTTGCAATCGTATATCTCCAGTGCTGCTAATCATATTGTATCATACCATATAGAGTTGGAAAGGTGTGATCTTAAGCTTCATTTAACCATAAAAAATATTCGGAGAAATTTAAAAAAGTTACAACTGTTCAAAAATGAGTGAAAATAATGAAGAAATTCGCTATATTGTGAAATTTTTGTATAAAAAAGGGAAGAATGCCACGCAAGCCACCAATGCAATTTGTGACGTTTACGAAGACGATGCTGTATCAGTTCGTGTAGCACAACAATGGCTTGCTCACTTCCGTTCTGGACACTGACACTGATGAAAGTTTTACACTGATGAAATAATGTCTCTAGCAGAAAAATGGTAAAAAGTGTCGGCCAAAATGCTACATATTTATTTATTTATTTAATATGATAAACATAAAAACATAAGCTAAAATTTGATTAAAAGTAACAAATTTTTGACTACGCAATTTCATCTTTGACCTTTTCATTCGAATTTAAATGAAATCTAGTCTATTACTTGAATATAATGAAGGGATAATTCTAATATCTTGTCCTAGAAGAGTTATTAATAATAAATAATTTACCCAGTTCGACCGCCGGTGTACGGTTCTCACAACGGTCGTTTTCAAGTAACGGCAATGGACACGATTTGTTATCCAACCAAGGTCTATGCTGCTAAAACCACAACAACAACAGCATCTTGCCTTTAAAGTTGATCAATGATTCATTGACGCAGATATTCTGATACTGAATGTTGTTAAAGAGTCACATTTTTCATACAGTCGCCATCATAAGCTTTAAGCACAACTAAAACTAAATTTAATGAGTATTTGGTTTAAAAAATACTCACAATAATACTCAAAATATCAATAATAAATTGGAAAGTATTTTGACATTATGTGCTCACGTTAAAACCTGTGTTAAATTAGAAGAAAAAGAAAGATATGGTTTTCAACATTTCAATAGCCTCAACTAAGATACTAGAGCCAAAACATCATTAAAAACCTTCAGCCCGGCAAGGCTTTACAAAACTTTTTCTAAATTTCAACTGCCAAAACAGCAACAACCCTTGCTGTTATTTTTTTTCCGTCGCAACTATGCAAAGAATAAATTTATCACAACTGGATTTTAGTTTATTCAAATTGCGGCTATTTATGCACTGTTACGGATGCTTGTGAGTTTATATTTAAGAAAAAACTATAAAATACTAAACCGAATCAAATTTTTAATTTCAATACAACAACAAGTAGTCGCAGCATTCTACTAATTAACACTAGTTGAAGTCAGAGCAGCGCCAATGTCTCAAACTCTTCATAGAAGTAAATGTGCTTTAGTAATTATAACTCAATATATTTATTATGCATATATGTATGTTTGTATATTTATGCGTTAGACATAAATAATCGTTTACTTTAGGTTAAGGTCAACTAGAAAAAGCGAACGTTTAAGCAAGAAAAGAATTAGCAAAGCAAAAAATAAAAATCAAAACAAAACGGCAATTAAAGCTAAGAAAATATTGTGAAAAAAAATTAAGACCTAACAGAAGTTAAATATTTAGAATAAGATTACAAGTGTGACAACTGAGTGCTAGTTAGATTATTTGAATCAATATTGGTGGTTACTAGTTGCAACTAGTTGCTTTGCTTAGCGACTTTCAGAAATAGCATGCCACAAATTACGTATTGACGTGACGTGATGGGATGAAGAGAAATTTGCATAAAGTAAGCACTCTATTTTCTAATAATTCAAGTTCAAAGTCACCTCTGAATTTAAAATAAAAACAAGCAAAATATAAAAGACTTAAGTGAAGAACTCGTTTGCGGCAGCGAAGACTAACCGGGTTGGTTTGGACAAAAGACTTAAGTAACGAACTTGTTTCGACTTTTTTGATTGATTTTGGCATGCAAAAATATATATTTCTTAAAAAATATTAAGAAAAATATTTAAAATGGATCTAAGGATTTATGATTTAATTTTCTTTTAATATTTATTTTAATTTTTGGTACATCTTTTTATAGTATTGTGTCAGTGAAATCGGAAAAAGTTAAAATTAAAAGTATAAAATGAAATGCGTTAGTTTAAAATAACTTTAATATACAAAACAAACATACAAAGAAAGAACCTTGCTAAAATAGAATCACGATTTCAAATAAATCACCAAGAAATCAATAACAAAAAATAAAAAACAAAACTAAAAAAAAAAAAATAAATTAACGAAAAAACAAAACAATATATGTATAACAAAAATTTCAAAAAAAAATTTTCTCTTTTCTTTATTTTCTTTCGACTTGATACAACTTTATATAAAATAAAACAACAAAAAAGAATAAATAACAAAAAATAAAAACAA